CGCTCGGGCCGAGTCCGAGATGGACTCGACCGAATCCGCGCTTATTTTTTATGCCGCGGCCGCCCGTAAACAGACACGGCCACGTGTCTCGATTCCAACTTCGTTCACTTGACGACGACGGCGGCGCGCAAAGTCCGAAAACATTTTCGACCATGTCACGCGTTTGCGGACCCAGCGTCTTTAGGTCGTCTTCATGACGCCAAAAGAAGAAGTACCCGAGGCGTATTTCTTTGACCAGACGCGTCCCGTCGTGACGTGATCGGTGGACGTAGCCACGTCGGCGTCGTCGGTCACACTCCAACTTCTACGTCACGTCACCATCGTTAGCCAGAGGGCGGACGCGCACCTGGCCCAATATCTCGGTGGGTGCTTCGCAACCAGCGTCCGGTCAGGTTGACCGACGCCAGCAGCGTCTTCGCGATCAACTCGTTTTTCACTTCTAACTTCTTCGCCCTTGCTCCAATGTGCCAACCACAAGAGTTTGCATCCCAAAAAGCGCAATAGAAAATAGGCATTCCATTTTCCTCCTCCAATCTATCCGCATAGAATCCCGCCTTCTCAATCAAGCTCTTGGGTGGGAGGGAGAGAGGACCCAAACCCATCTCAACCTCAAGTTGAACACCACCTCCTTTTTAACTGCTTTATGTGCCAACACCACCAAGTGTACACCACCATGTGTATGTGTGTTAGCTTTTCACAATCATTTCCCAAAGGATGTTAGCCACTCAACTTGCCACGCCACTCGATCCTAGCGATGATGCAAAGTTAGATCACTTGAGTGGCACTAGATGATGATATGCAAACAAGTTTGCTCCTCTTGATAGTACGGATATCTATCCTAAACCCGGTCATCAACTTCTCTACACACCTATGACCGGTAAAATGAAATGCCCTAGGTTATACCTTTGCCTTGCGCATTCCATTCCATCTCCTCCAATGTCGATGCAACACATGCACCAACACGATCAACAATGATATGATCCACTTCATATCATCACGTGATCATATTGGTTCATCGATCTTGACTTCACTTGCCATTCACCGCTTGCCATCGTCCATCGGACGTCAAGTCTTACTCAAGCTTCACATTGCCTCGAAGTCCGTCCATCACTCTAAAGCCTTCGACTTGCCCTTCACGCTTGCAACCGGTCCATCAAGCCAAGTCTTGTCTTGATCTTCTCCACCTTGATCACATGACTCAATGTCATGTCTCATGTGCATTAAGCTCCTTCATCATCATATGTGTGAGCTTTGCAATATCTCTAAGCCATTTTCACCTTTATGGCATATGTTGCTCACACACATGTACCTATGCACTAATTACCTGTGTATCTCATATAAACACAATTAGTCCACCTAGGTTGTCACTCAATTACCAAAACCAAACAAGGACCTTTCAACAGGGCAGTAGCTGATGGTGGGTCAAGTGATAAAACAGTGCCTGATGTTAGCGGTTGCCTCATCATACGGAAGGGCATATTGTTTGCTACCATGGATGAGTTGAAATCATGGTTGCAGGAGTACCCCATTGTACACAACCGACCTTTTAGGGTCATCAATTCATTCAAGGAGAAGAGGTACACTATTGCTTGTGAAGAACAACAGTGTGGTTGGAGAGTATGTGCTAGGAAGACGAAGGCAGACAAATGGAAGATTACCTCAGTGAAGTAACCACATGTTTGTGCCACTGCTGAGGTAGAAGAGAACCATCTGCAGCTCAATTCTAGGTTCATTACAAGGCAGTTATGTCCCATGGTGAAGCATATGCCAACCATTACGGTGTCCGCGTTGGTTGAGATCATCTTCCAACGGTACAACAGTAAACGAATCTAGGTTTTTCAGTGAGTTTTCAAATAGACTTTTCATTGACTGCAACAGTACTTGTAGCTCTTTCAGTGACTGCAACAGCACAAGTAGCATTTTCAGTGATACAAACAGTAGCACTACAGTCTAGGATAGTTAACGAAGTACAGGGCATAAGACCATCTGAAATAAACAGCACAAGTAGTCTTTTCAGTGATACAAACAGTAGCACTACAGTCTAGGATAGTTAACGAGGGAGGAAGAAGAAGGGGTCTCGGCGTGGCTTCAAGAGTCCAGACCTCGGCGTTGAGTCGGGCCACGCCGAGGTCTGGTGGCTTGGCGTTAAGTGACCCAGCGCCGAGATATTGGGCCACGAAGCGTTGCTGGACCGCGCGCCGGATGGTGCCAATAGCTCGGCGTGTAGTCCCACAGCGCCGAGGTTGGGCCTTTGACGTTGGCTGACACAACGCCGACGTGTCGGACCCCATGCGCCACCGTGTCGCCGTCAACCGGGGTCGTCCGTGACATGGCAAGAACTCGGCGTTGTGTCAGTCGACGCCGACCCTCATACCTTGACGTCATGTTCTAAGACGCCTAAAAATGGTCTATTTTCAGCAAACGTTTTGGCATGAGTCTTTTTATAAAAAATGTTTTCAAAACGGACCAAAATGCAAAAATTTCACCGAGCGGCACGGCATGGCATGGCCGCATCCCCCGACGCGGCGAGGCCGGGCGCGGATCGGATAAACAAATGCCTGCCCTGCCCAGTGCCCAGGACCAGGAACGGGCCCGGCACGCGCGCGTGCACCGCCCCCGTGCGCCCCATGTCTGCCGACGCGCGCGCGCGGGCGCAGCGAAGCGGTGTGGCGCGAGACGACCAGACGGGACCGGGGCGACGCCCGGGCCGAGCCTCCCGTCTCATGCATCCCCCGCTCGCGCCGTGAGTGGAACGACGTCGGCGTGGGCGACCCACGTCGGCGTCGAGGGCAGGGTTGGTGGCCACCCGCCCACCTACCTGCTGCTGAGTTACGTGTGCGGGATGGCCCTGCCGCCCTGCCCCTGCGTCTGCATGGCAATGGCTGCCTACTGTAGGGCTGTAGGCTGTTGGCTTGGCTCACTGCCTGCCTGGTACCGGTACGGATGATTAAGAAGCGCGTGATCAGCCGCGCGGCGCACCACGATGATCGATGAGCCGGCGTTACGTCGTTGCGGGACGTACACGTGTGGCTCCTGGAGAGGACGGGTCCACCTCACTGCCCATGTGTGCGTGCGGCCCGCGGCCGTGTGTCGGTGGCGAGGCGATCCAGCTGCCGGCGGGATCGGAGACCCGGTCCGCCCATTCATTCATTGGCCCGGCCGCGCCGCGCTAGGTGGCGGACGGTCTGATTCCGATGATCGGATCCAAGGAACCCAACAAAAGCGGGGAACCTTTGCGAGCTCGAGGAAACTTCATGGCGCCCGCGCGCAGCCGTCCCGACAGCCCGACACCGATAGGATGGCGGGACCACCGGACCAGCGTCCTTTCTCCCTATACGGGTACAGTTGGAGTACTTATTTTACTCTCCTGCCGTCGTTGATCCATCCTTTCCTCCTACAGCTAGGCGTCGACGGTGTCGGCACTGTGCACCCCCTTGGCCGGAGTCTTGTTCAAGGGTTGTTTGTTCTGCATGTATTGATTGGAACTCACCGTCTCATGTGGTCATATCTCAGAGCACTTGGCATCGATACACAATACAAAGTGATCTCAGTGTAGGTGATTGGTTTATACCTGCCCTAAGATTACTATCGATTTGTTTTTCAATTTTATAAGAGGGTGTTTAGATCACAGAGCTAGAAATTATAGTCCATATCCTGCGGTACTAGGTTAAACATGGACTAATCATGAGCTAATAAAAGCTAATAGTCTTTAACCATCAATTAACCCTATTAGCTCTTATTAGCCTATGCTTAGCCCTCCTATTTGACATCTAAAATTCACAATTTAGTTTTAGCCACGTACTTCCTCTGCCCCGTGGAGAGTGTCATTCTCATTCTCATTTTCCGAGAGGTTAAATATTTTCAATTCTAACCAAATACTCCCTCCGTCCCAAATTATAAGTCATTCCAAAAAAATTTGGAGAGTCAGACTATCTTAAGTTTGACCAAATTTATATAATAGGATAATAAGATTTATGATGTAAAATAAGTATCATTAGATTCTTCATTAATTATATTTTCATAGTATATCTATTTAATGCCATAAATATTTGTAATTTTTTCTATAATTTTGGTCAAACTTGAGATATTTTGACTCTCCAAGATTCTTGGAATGACTTATAATTTGAAACGGATGGAGTATGTACAAGATATTATTAATATTATGGTGTGTAATAAGTATCATTGAATTAACCGTTGAATACATCTTTATAATAAACTTATATGATTTTTTCTATTTATCTGCTGACAGATTTTTTTTATACTAAACCTGTCAGATTCCTATACGCTTGATTGTACTTTAGGATTTGTGCTACAACTGTCTACTGGGTCGCGTTTATAAAAAATCTGACAGATCTGACCACATAAAATCTATCGACAGATAACTAGACACTCTCTTGATAATATTTTCTACAAAGTTAGTTAAACTCAAGAAAGTTTTACCTACGTAAAACCTCTTATACATGTGACTTTCTTTTGGACGGAGGTAGTATATCCAAACAACGTACCGTAGTTACTCATTCCTCCATTTCCAGTGGTCTAAAAATTGTGATCCTGACATTCATGCAGTAATTGGTAGTGTCTCCGCCTCTCCGGTTAGGAAGGGAAATAAAACAATTGTCGCCGTGGACCAAATTAGAATAATTGTCAGTAGATCAACCCTTTCTTTACTACAACAGCAACCCCCATTTGCCAACACATTGGTTGCAACAGAAGATGCATCCGTAGTTAATGGGCCGAATACCCACGGATGCTAAGCCGGCCTGCCTGCCCGCTTTCTTTTTTATATATATTATTATTATAATTATAATCCCGTACCTCCTCAGCCCCACGACTCCCCCACCCATTCCTCCGCATTCGCACGGTTTTGCATAGTCAGTTTTCCCGATGCCTCTAAACCTAGCGGCGGCGCAGCTGCAGGAATCGTGTTTCCCTCCCATATGCGGCGCCAGATGTGATCCCTGCGGTGATGGAGCACTGGCACCGGTGATTCAGTGAAGATTCTAGCGTCGGCTTGCTTCCTCACCTTCGAAATCAGTAGTAGCAACTTGCTTCCTCACCATCAGGGCGGGCTGCCGGACCGTTCCTCCGTGAGTGGCGCGACTCGCCAGCGCCGCCAGCCGAGAGATGAGAGCACCCGCGCCCGGCGCCGGTGCCTCGGCATCCGGCACCGTCGCCGACATCCAGGGGCCCACGCTGCTACGGCCCAGGGCTCCAAGTCCAGGATGCAGAGCCTTGCCGCCGCCGGCAGCTGCCGAGGAAGACCGACCACTACCCGTCTCCCCGCACCGCCGCGGTGGCGCTCCCCGCAGACCCGGCCCAGGTGCCTCGCTGCCAACCCCAGCGACAAGACCGCAACAGCGAGTTAGAGCCCGCGTCCGTCCATGGAGCAGGAGCAGTCTCGAGCAGATCCCCATCCGACCGGTATTTTTGGCCTGTCACTTTCTCAGCTCTCTGAAGTCCTATACATTCAACGATTCAATTGGATAACCATGTCATTTTGTGTGATCCGTGAAATTGTTATATCAAATATGAAGGATATCAAATGTTTGTTCAATTCCATAGTTGATTGGGGTTAATTTTATAGTTGTTGACTGAATCTATATCACTAAGGATTAGGATAGGGGGTTCGTCTAAATAAATGCATATTTGTCATTATCAATTTCTGTGGTGGCGAAATTAATTATATGAATATGGCATTATTAGCTTGTTCTGATGACTAGATTATTTCTTCAGTTTACTAATTAACAGGTAGGCGGAAATGCAATTATGCTGACTAACGGATGTCCATATTTCTGCTATCAAGTGTCAATATTCTATATCTGTTCTTAAAATTCCTGACTTTTTTTTTTCTTTTTTGTTAACTGATTTATGACTTTATTTTCTGATATCCATTCAGGTGGACAGGTCGAAACAAGCATGAGAAAACGTCAGGGACCATAAAGAGTTGCTTCTCCATAGTAGAGAATCAGTGACATATTGCCCTGTATCAATCGAAGTGTGTATGCGCATCACAATTTTCTGTGCTACTTGTGAAAGGATATTTTTGTGAAGCAGAAACATCAGAACTGAATCGTTTCAGTTCAGTGAAAGAATAACAAGTTGTTTGTCTCTCTTGCAGTTCGGTATGGCTTAGCAGTCTTTTAAGTTCATTCCTAACTCATCGCTGCTAGTTGACTTCATTTCTGCTAGTTGTTTCTGAATTGATATTTTTCTCATCTCAGTCTTTTTCAGCAGCTTGTGTCCATCTGTTCCTTCTCTGTTTCTATCTGTACATCAGTGACAGCCATCAGTCTATGCCTTCCCTGGTTTTCAGATAGCAGCAGCAGCACTTTCGACAAGGTAAGCAGGTAAGCTCCCTGCTGTTCCTATCTTGCACTAGTGTTCTAATCTTTGCTTGCACGTCAAGATAATTTGCACATGTTCATTAAGCAGGTAAGCAGATAGTTTGCACATGTTCATTAAGCTCCCTGGTTTTCAGATAGCAACAGCAGCACTTCGACAAAGTATGCAGGTAAGCCGGTAATCTTTGCTTGTAATAGTGTGTATAATTCCTTGTTAATTCCATCTTGCTGATAGTTTGCATTTGTAGCCTTGCCTTATTTTCTTTCCTCATTAATTAGTGTTTGTGGTCAACTTTTAGTAAGAGCTATTTCTGTAAGTTTTTCTAGATTATTTTTGCTTTGGTTCCTTCTCATCTTTTTTGTCCTGTTGTTTAAGTACAAGTCCTGTGCAAATTAGACTTCTTTATTTGCATAAGTGGCACTGATTCACTGAAATAATGAACATGAACATTAGATGTCATTGCATGAACTGTCCTGTTGACAATATTTTGACATTTTACACTCTGCTCAATAAGATTCTGCAACCTGTGCTTTCCTACAAAATTTTGGAACCTACAGAAGTGATTGAACTACATTCTACAATTCACATGATATCAGAATAACGTGTTCTATATACCTCGAATTATATGTTAAGATATATCGATGCTTTAAGAAATTAGCAGCGATACATTTGGATACTTGTACTTACAAGATCATGTTTGTTTTTTCTTATTCAAGGTCAGTGTTCAGATGAGTAAAGTTGGCTAAGTTTCATCAGCAAGAGTTTTATGTGAAGATTATGCCAGACAAGATTGGAGCTTTATATTTCAGTTTTAGAACATGAAATTATCAGATAGAGACAAGATTGGAGCCTTTTCTTTGGGCTGTATTGACAAGATTGCTTGTCAAAGCACAAATCTTTGTATGGATGGTACTCATTGTAATGCAACAATTTGATTTTTAATATATGGCTAAGTATTGGTATTTCTCTTGTGTGAGATGGTCTCTAATTTCCAATATTTGTTCAATGATAGTTTATTCCTAGGCACGCAAATAAACGTTGCAGCAATCCAAATCTTTATGTTGCTAGGACCTGTAGAAGTCATCGGTCCGCGTTAATATCCGTTGTAAATTTGCAACGATTATTTATAGGTATTACTAACACATATATAAGTGTTGCAATAGATCCTTGCAACGCCACTTTAGACAACGCATATTAGATGCGTTGGTATAGACCATACCAACATATATATGGACTTTTAGCAACACATATATACGTTGCAAAAGGGGGTGTCATTTTGCAGTCGGTCCCCTTCCAGCGACGGTAAATTGTTGTAATCGTTGCGATCGGTAGGACTGATACCATCAGTAGTACGTAGGACAGTGGGCGTACTGCGCCAGAGGAGAAGGTATGCACTACGTGTCCGTGATTAAGAAACCTGCCCAGCTTGATTTGCAGATGGCCATGCAGCCCGCGGGCTCGCGGCCCAGCCCACGGCCCGGCCCGATAACGATACAGCACGGTGGCCACCGGCCCCGGGCCGGCCCGGCCCGAGCGACCAGGACGGGCTTGGGCCGCCACCCTGGCCTGTGGCACGGCACGGGCACGGCCCGGTCCAAAGAGGCGCCCCGGTGGCGGCCCGGTGCCCCCACGGCCCATTGGCTGGCCCAACAAGCCCCCTCCCCCTCTGGCCCTCTTGATATAAAATGCAGGCGCCGCTGCGGGCCGTCCCTAACCCTAACCCTAGCTTCACATTCCAAATCGCCTCGCCGCTGAGTCGCTGACCGCTCTCCGCTCTCACCTCGCGTCTGGTGCCTCGACGCCTGTCCTCGATCTGTCATCGCCGTCGTTACTGGTGCTCACGCCCGCCCTGCTCGGTGACCTCGCCGCCGGTCCTACACCTCGCCTCCTCCCTCCTTTCCCTCTTCTCCTTCTCCTCCTCCTTTCCTCCTCTCCTCCTCCGGTGTACCATCGCCTTAACCCTAACCCTAGCTTCACATTCCAAATCACCTCGCTTGTTGAGTCAGCCGACCGCTCTCCGCTCTCGCCTCACGTCCCGGTGCCTCGGCGCCTCGTCCTCGATCGATCTGTCGCCGCCGTTCACTGGTGCTCGCTGCCCCGCTCCCGTGACCTCACCGCCGGATCTGCACCTCGCCTCCCTCCTCCTTTTCCTCTTCTCCTTCTCCTCCTCCTTTCCCTCCTCTCCACCTCCGGTGTACCATACTACCATGTGAGTGGCTTGTGCCTGTCAGTCGTTCCGCTGCCGCTCACCGTCGTTCTAACCGGTGTCTCTCTCCTCTGGTTCGGTCTTAGGCTCTTGGCTCCCTGCCCCTGGCCTCTTCTCCGGCACTGGGCTCTGGTGGCGTAGGTGAGTTGAAACCCTAACCCTAGATCTGTCTCTCTCTTTCACTCACTGTCACTCTCTTGTCTCTGTTCTTGTAAGTTCTAAATTTGTAATCTTCTTCGCAGGTTGGTGCCTGACGCCGTGTCGTCCTCCTCTGGAGGCGCCATGGCAAGCCCACCAGTGTCAAAGCGACCACACTCCCACCGTCGAGGGGTCTTTGGAGCTGAGCCGGGCCAGGCCGGGGCCGGCCGGCCGTCCCCTTCCCCCCCTCCCTCGGCCTCGGATTGGGAGGTTCTGGAAGTGGAGAACGACGACAACATTCGTGAGGATGCAAATTGGGCTGTTCGGCATCGATCTCGGTGGCGGTGATGGCACCCATCCGATTGATCTCGATCTTGGCGACGACGACGGTGGGGTGGCGACCTCCACGACACTCATGGTACCTCATTGACCGGTGGTGGTGGTAAGCTCATATCTGCTTGTTTGGGAGGATTTCACCGAGATTAAGGAAAATAACATACGAGTAGCTGCTATCTGTAAAATGTGTGGCAAGAGGTATACTGCTAGATCTGCTGCTGGCACTAGTCATTTGAAAAGGCACCAGAAATCTTGCAAGGCTAAACATGATAACTATAAGAGGGTCCAGTCTAGGCTTGCTCAGAATGATGATGGTTTGCATAATCGGGTGTATGACCCTCGCTATTGCTCGTATTGAGTTGTGCTTGGGTTGATTGCTAGGGTCAAACCTTCCATTAGGCATAGGTGAGACATGAGCCTAGGAGGATTACATTAAGCGTGCTCATAACCCTAGATTTGAGAAGGTTTCAGACGTGCCACTACTAGAGATATGGGTAAATTGTTTGTTTGAGCAACGTTCTATGCTTATGAATTCTTTGTTTCTGCTTGCTCATCTCATGTCTTTGACATCGACATTTGGTCCAGTAATCTTTGAGGACTATATTTCATTGTTGCTCATTAGGTTAGTGCTGATTGGGAGTTGCGTAAAAAAGGTTATAGGTTTTAGGCTAATTGAGGTGTCACATTCTGGTGAAAACATTGCTGAGAAGATATCTGTTGTGGTTGAGGAGTTTGGGTTGATTGACAAGATCTTTGCTGTCACTTTAGACAATGCTTCAGCTAATTCTAAGGCTTATGATATCTTGCAACCTGTCTTGTTTGGTTACTTGGGTTCTTATCCTGCACCTACACATGATGATCCTCACAAGGTCAAGTATTTGCTTGTGCATCAGCGTTGTGCCTGTCATATCATTAATCTCATTGTCAAATCTGGCTTGAAGAGGTTGAAACCTTTTACTGAAGATTTCAGAACTACAATAAACTTTTTGAATTCCTCTAATCAAAGAATTGCATTATTCAAAAATTACTGTATTGCTCAGGGTATAAGGCCTAGAAAGTTTGGATTGGATATGGATGTTAGATGGAATTCCACCTATTTAATGCTTAAGCATTTGCTACCATACAAAGAAGTATTTTCTGTGTGGCTTAACTCTAATTATGGTTTAGAATTGTTAACTGCACAGCATTGGTATGTTGCTGAACAGATAATGGCGTTCCTGGAACTCTTTTATGATTCTATTGTTGTTCTGTCTGGTGTTTACTATCCCACAGCTCCACTTGTTTTGCATCATATCCTTAACATTGCTGAGCATCTGCATAAAGCTGAAACAGATCAGAATTTTAGAATGATTGCTTATCCTATGAAGCTTAAATTTCTTAAATATTGGAAGA